ATTTATTATTAAATATTTAATTCTAATATAATATAATTAACATATCCCACCTTCACCACCCTACCGCTCCGGCGACCGTTCCGATCACCGCCCTACTCCAGCGAACTTCCAATGACCGTTCCGACAACTACTCCGATTCCAGCGACCGCTTCGGTGACTATTCCGGCGACTGCTCAGATTTCGGTGACCATTTCCGATGACTGCTCCGATTCCGACGACTCAGGTCACGAGTCACAGCCCATGTCACAACTCATGTCACAAGTCACAACTCAGGTCACAATCCAAAACTTTTGTAGGTCACAATTTGTATATCGGTCACAGATCAAAATTTTTAGAGGTCACAGATTATTCTATGGTCACAAATCAATAATTTTAAAGGTCACAGATTATTTTATTGGTCACGGATTAAAAAATTACAGGTCACAGATTAATTTTTAGTGACAAATTGTCGAATTTTAAGATCACGAATTAATTTTTAGTCACAAATTATAGAATTTTAAGATCATAGATAGTCCAACACAAACACTAAACCCTCCGCCACCGTCCACTGCTAGAGAGAAGAGAGAGTGAGAAGAGAAAAGACAGTACACTTTGTGACCACAACCAACACTTATGACCACCATGACACCATCTCACCACTCCCATCAGCACCACCACCGTCACTGTCAAGGCCAGAACCACAATAACACAATCTCAACAAATCAACACATTGTATAAAAACACCACCACCGCTACGACACCGCACACAGCATCGTTGTCAAACACTACCACTGCACAACACTTGCGACCCACCACCACGCGAGGGTCACATATCAAAACCATCGCACCACAACACCATCATCAAGCACAGCACCATCGCCACGACACCAATGCACCATCACCACGCGAGGGTCACCAATTAGAATCACAGTACCAACCCACGACACCGAACACAGCACCACCGCCGCGACACCACCACCGCACCCACAGTATCACAGAACTTACCCAACCACTATACCACTACCACATCCACAGCATTACAGTAGCACGCCACTACCACCCCCAACCCCATCTTACCATCACGGCGCCACCAGATCCAGCTAAAACCCCACATTCACCGCCAGATCGTCGCTACTGCAGATCCCATCATTCACGACAAGATCGCCGCTATTGTAGATCGCCATGAGATCCGACCAAACCCCCATCATTTCATGGCCAAATTGCTGTTGTAAACCATCAACCGCATGTGCACTGCCAACACCATAGAGAGAAACTGGACATGGAGAAGAGAGATACAGGAGAAGAACAGTGCACATGGTGGTGTTCCATACTATACACCAGTCTTGGAGGTGGTCGTTGACTGCTGCAGTGGCAGCGACAGTCCATTCGTGGAGGAAGAGGAAGCAGAGAGAAATGAGAAGAAGAGAAAATGTAAGGAAAGATGGGGTAGAGAGAGAGAGAGAAGAAAGAGGGATATAATTAGGGTTTGAGAGGGTAGATGATAGTAGGTGGAGGGAGGTAGCGTTGAAATATTTATTTTATAAAAATTTTGATTAAAATAAAATATCTGATTTTTGAAATATCAAACTTTCAATCTGATTTTAGAATGTTGAAGATTTAAAGTATGGATTGGTGTAATTTCCTTAAAAAATAATAATAACAACTCGGATTTGGGCTAGACCTGGATAGGGCTACAGCCCGGTCCAGTCTCCCCTCCCAATCCGTTCATGTTCCCAAATATAAACACTATAACTGCCTACTATGATCATCTGCCTAACATTTTTTAGTGCACAATGTGTTTAGCGTGGCTATAAATTATCGATAAACAAGCACTACGGTCATTTTTACATCAGAAAAAATAAGCAGACAATGATCTTCACAATTGAATGCTTCGGTGCCTAATTTTACAATAATGAAATGAAATCAGAATGAAAAAAATTCATTGCAAATGCCTCAATTGACACCAAATTAAAGCCGGATTTTATATCAAAAACCAAGAAACTAAAGAAAATACGGAAAAACTAAAGATAAGGAAGCCTAAGGCTGAACAAAACTCTCGAACCAAATCGGACCCAAATATAACCGAATCGAGTGGTTCTTCTTAAATTAAATACTAGAACGGATATCTGAATCGAAAATCGATAAATTTGGTTCTGCTCTAGACCAATAACCGAAAAATCGAATAAGAACCGAATCTCCATAATTTTTTTAGTTTTTTTTTTTTTATCTTAAATAAGTCAAATTGTTCATTTTTTTTAAATAGATGTGCTAACTAATTAATTTAGTCCAAATCCAAAATATGATTTTTACTATTTCTAATTTTCATCCAATCCCAACTTAATCAAATTGATCTAAGTTTTACCCAAATGTATTATTCTATCGTATGATCATTTTTGCCATTCTATTATTGTGAACTCGTCATTTTTGTCTTCCTGTGATTTTAACAATCAAATTTATGAAATATTCAACAAATAAAAGTGCAAAAGATATCACAAGATTGGACTCCGTTATTTTGTAAGAATTAAGATTGAACATATCATAGTCGAATTAATGTAGAATCGAAGCGAACTAAATCAAATAGAATGGAATCGAATCCGAACGGTTCCATAATTAAATTTGAACCCAACAATTCCGTTTACTAAATAACTGAAAATTCGGGTTTGATTCCGTTCTCTTTAAAATCGAATCGGACCACACCATGTTCAGCCCTAAGGAGGCCTCCACCAGGATACTATCATACACAAATCCTCCATTTAATACATCATTCGAAACAACACTTTTTGTCATCTCATCCCCTCCTCGTCTCCAATTAACACATCATTCTTCCCATGTCTTAGCGAATTAGCAAAATTTTCAGAAATACCTTGCAGTTTGGCATCAAGAGAGGATGGCAATGGCTTGAATCCACTGAATTCTTGACATAACTTAAGTTATAGGAAAAATCTTCGTCATTAAAACAACACCACCATTTATCAAAATTCTTCCAAAATCGGTATATCAATTGATATTCATCCTCCATCCTCAAGTACTCTAATATCAGCATGGTGATGCACCACAATCTTATTCGAATTTTTTTCCTACAATCCTTCGTGCTCTTGGCTGCAACCCCAAGCCCCAATGGCACGTCCTCCATCGAATGCACCACCCCCCCGCCCCCCCATCATTCACCTTAATATTCTTAGTAATCCTCCCAACCCATCCTTTCAACACATTATTCCCGTATAAAAAACTCATCTTCGAAGTGGGTCCTTCGTAAGATGGGTTTTGCATCACATTTTTTTGTGGACTGTTTTCACAAACCCATGATTTGAATTTTGAGAAAAGATGCGGTGGTTTGGGGATTCAATTGTGCCATAGAAAAGATGAAGGGGAGGAGAATGGAATAAGATGACATAAAATCGCGATGGTTATGGAGATATTTTAGGGATTAATAAGTTAATTAGGGGTGTCCGGAGATTGGTTTATGAACTTTATAATATTTTAAATGATAAATTTTGAGCGTTGGATTAGATTAGATTAAAGGTTACGACTATCTGTCAAATACACTTATCAAACTAGAATGTAGGAGGGACTATCCCGAATAAATAAATACCTAAACCCTAAGAATAGAATTCAATTGTTACCAAACTCACGCCAGCATTTCTTGGAAACAAAACTCATCCAGATATGACATAAACCACAAAGACAAGATAAGCCTCTACTAAAGC